GCTCACAAGCTTGCTTGTCAGAGTATTTATTTAAAAGTTGTTTTAAATTCATTACATTATAGTGACTTTTTTTAGGCATACTAAGAACGATAAAAAAATGTTGTTTTATAGTTGCTTCTTTCAGAGATTTTGAATTAAATTTTTTAAAACATACTTTGTTTGTCGCCTATGTTTACTGAATGAATATATTATGTTCAATTGTCCATGAAAAGCAAAGTTAAAAACTTAAGCAGGATATAAATTAGTATTTTTATTATCTACACAATTTAGGAGCTCAGTATGCTCTCTTTGGAAAATTAACTTATGGAATTTTAAAAAGAGAAATAAATTGCTATAAATTAGTTTTTATTTCCTACAAATTAGCAAATTGGTCTTTTTTTCTGCGCAGGAATATATAAATATGAGAATAATTTTCAGGAATATATAAATATGAATACTTAATATTAAATTATTATAATTATTATACATTCATCGATATGAATACATAAATATTAAACGCATAATGACTCAATTTCATGTTAAATAACAAATCGTCTGTCCATGTTTTGATCAGTCTTACAAAACAAAATAAAATGACCAAAATTACTTTATAAAATCAAAACAAGAGAAATATTACAATAATATCTTTCTTAGTTTGTCAATTCATAAAATACAATCAATAATAAAGTGTATTTTTATTACTTAAATATATAGAGTTAAAAAAGTTAATAAAAATTCTATTTCTCTCTAAAGTTTTGCTCGCAATGCTAGTTTATACTACTTCAAAACTTATTTAATTGCTAGCTATTATTTTTTAATTTAAGGAGAAGATGCAGAATAAAATAAATATGTTATATATGATATGTTACATGCATAAATAAGAGCATAGAAAAGCATATTAGTGATTTAAATTCACATTAAAAATGAACTCATTTAAATAAGATCGATAGCAATTAATGTATACCTCTGTAATCCAACAACAATATTCAATGAGTCCTTTACTTTATTGGACTTGGCCAGAAGTTTCCTTTCTCTCAAATCTATCTCGAAGTACCAATGGTCACTTCCACCACTACTAAAATTAAAGAAGAAAATCAATTAAATAAGTAGATTATGACAGTATAGATGATGACTCTAGATTATTGTTTTGAAAGTTAATTATTAGAAATGATGAACAGTTAGCTGAACAGGAAAAAAAAATTAAGAATCGAAAAAACGGAGCACCTTATTATTCTTTGATTTAATGTTTTGATTTTCTTTACACAATTTTAATCTATAAAATTTTAAAAGGCAATACACAAGCATTGAAACAATTTTATCGAATAATTCTTGAGAAATAAAAATTTAAAAGTATAGATTCTTCTAGATAGTAAAATTGACTTTCAGGTGGCCGAACTTTCGCAGCTAAGTTCACCGACATAAATTTAATATGTTCCAACTTTTGGATCAAACCCCCTTTTTTCTTAATAATATTTTATTTATTGACATTAGATTTTTGTCTAAATAGTATATATTCATAAAACGGGATTTCTTTTCTCAAAGATACCCTAACACTAATTTTAGTTAGTTATCAACCTTTATCGATTGTACATAAGAATGCGCGATAAGGGCATAAAATTGGGTTTCAGTATTTCTGATTAAAATACTGCTACCATTTAACAGAAATCCCATAAAAATTGTTGCAGCAGATCTTCATTTAATTTGGAGATGAATAGAATAGAATGGAAGTTATTTGCTTGCCAAACAAAAATTACGATATGGATTAATCCAAAGTTGACTCTGTCGTCTTTATTAATTGAATACTTATTTTGAGTTAAGTTTGAAATATGATTTAAATTACCCATTCATGAGAACCACTTCTTTATCAAGAATCAAGTTTGACTCTATTGGTTCTACTTCAGTATTCAATTCTCCCTTTTCTCCGCTAAAAATAAAAAATACGAAATTAGTGCATGAAACAGTAACTTCAAGTTAAAAAGTGCCTTCGCTGTTAAAAAGGGCTTCTTGGATGCGAAAATGTTTCAAACTGGCTCCAAAACAAATCTATATCGACTTTAATTTTAAAAAAACTATATGTGTTCATTATTATATGCTTCATTTTAACTTCTCATAATTTATCTAACTCTGATAAGAGTAAATATTTTCTTTTTAAATCGATTCTAAATATATACATATATATATCAATATATATATATATATATATATTTTTTTTTATCAATTCCACTACAAAAATTATTAAGAAAAAAAAACTTAAGTACTGGTACATATGTTTCGAAAATTACTTAATGTATAAGATGTTGTTCAAAATACTTAATTTGATCTTAAAAAATAAAAAAAACTGTTTAAATTACCTATCCACGATAGCAACATCTTCAACATCAGATGAAGATGACTCTCTCATCTCCATTTCAGCGCTCAACTCAACCAAGTCGTCGCTAAAGATAAAAAAATAATATTATCATATTATATAGTTAACACCTCAAGCTTAGTATATATCTTTGTTTAACATATTTTATTTATCAAAAAATTTAGTAGCAAAAATTTAATTATTAAAAATAGAGGTACATTTTCTTACACTGTGTACATTTATTTCTCATTCGAATTCTTTAAATTCTTTCCGTTCTGATTAAGATGAGTTAAATTAATTTGTACTTTTTAAAAAGAAATCTTTCCAAACATTTCATAACGATTCCACAATGAAAATCATCATACAAAAATAGCAAAGTAAGCATTATATATATTCAATATACTATATAAAAAATTAATATATATTTATAATCGCTCTGAAAAATTAATACAATAATAATAGGAAATAAGATAAGCAGATTACCTATTCAACATCTCAACATCTTCATCATCAGTTGTTGATGACTCAGAATGCTGTATTTCAGCACTGAGTTCTTCTATTTCATCGCTAAAGGTAAAAAAAGGACATTATCACATTATATAGTTGCTTTAAGTTTAACATATTTTCCTATAAAAAATATAGTAACAATAGTCTTTTTTTTAAAATAAAAATTGAAGCATATTTCAATGAATTGCAGGTTTATGATTGTATTAAACTCCAATAATTTATCTACCAGAGCTAATTATTTTAATTTACTAACTTTACATACTTTTTTCAATGATTCCAATATAAAAATGTAACTGTTTCACAATAGTTTTGGAGAAAAGAGGAATGACTACTTTCTTTCTATTATTAATGTTGTGAATTCTGAAATGTGATTTAAAAACATTAATAAAAAGAATTGAATTTTGGGAAAAAAAATTTTAATCGCAGGAACATTCCACAAAAATGGCAAATGCATTAAAATCTCGATTTCGAGATTTTTTTTGCTCTCGTTTCCTTTTGCATGGCTATTATGTATATACTAATATGCAATAACTTTCATTAAATATTTAAAGTAGTTTCAAACTCAGATATTATGATCTCTTTAAGATAATAACTCTTTAAATTACCTATCAGTAGCGTCATTCTCATCATCAGAAGTCACATGTGACTCCTCACACACTATCTCACCACCAACTCCCAGCATTTCATAGCTAAAAGAAAAAATAAAATTATTACATTATTTAATTATCTCAAGATGGTCATCTTTCATCAGTTTCTTGCTTAACTCACACTTGAGATGTTATAAAGGTCAGTTTCTGTTTAATAAAAAATTAATAATAATGCAAGGTAATAAATATTGTTAAAAGAACCTCTTTTAAACATATTTTGCATTAATATTTTTTATTAACATTTACATTTAAGATGTTTTCTACATATGACATGTTCTAAATAAAAAAATATATTGCAATACTTTTTTCAAATAGTTACATTTAATCTCAATTGTTTAAATGTCGTAGTATTTAATAATATGAAACTGTAATACCCTTTCTGCCACAAAATATAAAATCTCTTTTTTTTTAATGTGCTGGCAATGTAAAGCTGAAAAAGAAACTGAGATAATAGTTGGGAAAAATGAAAGGTTTCATAATAAGTCATTTAAAAAATAAATGTTCTCTATTTTAATTTTCATTATGAACCTTTTTTTATTCAGGTGGTATTTTAAATTAAAGCTCTGTTAAAGTTTTAATCAAACGCAATAAGCGAGGAAGAGAGATATGCTTTTTCTAAACCAAAATTAGGCAGAATTATGTAGATCAACCATTATTTTTTTAACCTTCTGCGTAAAATATATATATATATATATATATATATATTTATATATATATATCTATATATATTCTTGGATTTCCTCTTTTTTACTCTCTGACTACTCTCATCCCTG